ACACACACACACACACACACACACACACACACACACACACACACACATACATACATATATATCAAACATATGGGGCTGGAGAGATGGCTCAGTGGTTAAGAACACTGGCTATTCTTCCAGAGGATCCAGGTTCAATTCCCAGCACCTACATGGCAGCTCACAGCTGTCTGTAACTCTTGTTCCAGGGGATCTGACTTCCTCACACATAGAACAATGTACATAAAATAAAAATAAATTATTAAAATCAAACATAACAGGGAACATTATTAAGACTGTAATAAAAACTTTTAATGATCACTTGCAAATCTCAAAACTTTCACAAATTATTTTCAGCAGTTTTTGTTTTGTTTTGGTTTTTATAAGAGAACTGAAGATAGCAGGCTTTTAAGCAAACTAGTATGGGACATCTTGGTGACTAACTCCCCGGGTCCTCTCTTGTATTAGGATGTACATAGAGAAGGCCCCAAAGACTCACTTTCCTGGCACAGCAAAATCTTTAAAAGAATTTTCTACGATACGGTTATTTAAAATATATATACCTTAGGGTCAGATCATATTCTTTGTACACAATGATTCATGAGAAATAAAAAAATAAACCACACTGGAATTTTAAGAGAAGTTGGTTAAGGAAGACTGATCTTTAGCCAGTGAGTCATTGTGTACTCACAGAACTTTGATCAATGCTTGCAGGGACTATTTTGTGCTGAGAACAAAGACACCAAAGAGATAGGCAGGAGAAAACTGGCGTTAGGGAGGCTCTGTGGAGAAGCGGAATCAGGAAACGCCTCCCAGCCCTAATCAGCAAAGCCAGGTGGAGGACACAAACTCAGAACTACACACATGTGAAAACGTAGTGCTCTTTGCAAAGAGATAGGTCTTTCCTTTAAATCGTAACCACAGACTTCTAGTTTCAAGCCTTCCCGATCGAAGAGTCCGGTGTGATTCAGCGGTGGCAGGCAGCCTGTCATTACCATCCCCCCACCCCACCCCCGGCTACACTAGGTACCCAACGCCAGTCTCCCCCCCAGCCCCACCCCCCGACGTGGAGCATTGCGTGTGCAATTTAATTCCAATCAAATGTCTTTTCCTAGGGTATTTGAAAGGGCGCACAAGCCCTCCCCCTTGGAGATGGGGACTGCATTTACTCAAAAATTTTTTTTTTTCATTCTAGGCCTTGGTAGCTAACTGGGTTCCTCCAGAAATTGCCCCTGCAGAGTCAGGGGCGACAATAGGTCTTCTGTAGGACTCACTGGGAGAGTTCAGCTCCAGCAAAGGCAGCTTTCAGGGCAAGCTGGAGCTGGGGTTGGCTGCCAAGACTTCAGTGAATTACTTTGGATATCTCTTGGGTGTTCAGAAATTTGGAAAAAAAAAAATCTATGTAAAGAGCACATGGCAGCTCGACAGTAAAAATCTGCCTCACACACTCAGATGTCTGTTACACATTTCTTTTTAAACAGCTAAGTGCTGTTTATGGAACACACAAAGGATTTTTATGAAGCCAACATATACTTCTGAATGAAAAAATATCTCCCTGTAATTGATATGTATTCTTTGCCATCAATTTCTCTAGGAAATAAAATGTTATGATTGATGGCTTTGGAAAAGACAAGTTTAGTGTTAAGTTGTTTTTTTTTTTTTCCCTTGAAGCTAGTTAATGGAAGTTTCCTGTTCGTGAGGAAAGATAGTTTAAAAAAAGAGCTTAAATTTTCCATTATGCTTTCTGTTTTTTGACTACAGGATATTTTTAGCCAGTTTTGGAGAATGACTTTCATCCAGCATAAGGTTAATAAGAATGCAACTTTTTTTAGTGGTTTGCAGTAGGAAGATGCAATATAGTTTCAAACCCTTGTGTCTACTAATAACTCAGTGTTTTGATTCAAACCACCCATGCCACTATTTAAAATCTGCAAGAGAAAACAGTGCAACTGAAGATGATAATCTATCATAAGAAAAAAAAAAAAAAGAGAACTTTATAAGCCTTCTGAAACAACAAATATTTGGTTACAAATTTTGTTTTAAGAATGCCTTTATTTTGAAATAATCATAAGGTTCTAGAATTTTTTTTTTACTCTGAAAAATGAGATTAACTGATGGTCTAATGTCTTCTTGTTCTTGAAAGACGGAACAGCTTGTCCGTCTTTCCTTGATGTTCACAGCCTTTCTACTGCTTCAGTTATTATGTGGCATGTCTTCATTTGGGTTTGTGTGATGTTTTCTAATGCTTAGATTATTTCTTTTTTGAGTCGATGCTAGCCTGTAATGACCGTCTGTTCCACACTGAAAGCATTAACTTGATGATATTCCAGACTTAATTAAGTATGTTGGACGTGAGCCATCCTTTTCCTCATCAAACTTTCAATTAATCTGGTTGGTGTGTCCATGTACTTTCGGCTGTTGCTTTCTTGTTTTAACAAGCCGTAGCCTCTTACTGTTGTCCTTAGAGCATTTACTCAACAGATTCATTCCCAGGTAGGCAGCCCACCTTCCAGGTTAGCTGCCACATCTTCTCCAAGTGGCTTGAACTCTGACCTCCTGGCCTGGACTCCTCCCTCTCTTACCCTTGATACCCTCTTCAGACAGCCTCTGACATGGCATCTTATAGCTTGCCCTGGATTCCCTCTGTCCCGTTTTAACTCTGACACCCAAATGTTGACCAACAGCTGCTCTCAATTCTACCTGCACAATTTTCTTTGCCTGACATGATAGTTTTATGAGGGACTCATTCAGAAAGAGAAGGGGAAAGAATAAAGGGTGAAAAGAGAAAGAGAAGGATGAATATTTATGTAAGTCACAAGTAAGTAAATTAAGTTACTGTTGGAAAATGATACATTTTTCATAATAATAATCACATCAGCCACTTAAAAGGGGAATAATAGAATATAATACCTTTCTTTTCTATTGAAGAGATTTTTTATACATTATATTCTGATTATATAACAGATCCTCCTCACTCAAATCTACACTCTCTTTTCCTTTCCCTCATTGGAAAACAAGCAGGCATCTAAAACATAAAAAAAAAATAAATAAATAAACAAGATAAAACCAAACAAGAATAGGACAAAACAAATGGGGGAGGGGGGAAAGCTAAAGAAAAAGCACAAGAAACACAGGTATGCAGAGATACAAAACAGACAAACATACATACATACATACATACAGACAGACAGACAGACACACACACACACACAAACACAAAATCAGAAATCATGTTATATAAGCAAAAGACCTGTGAGGTTGAAAAAAAAAAAAAGTGTAGAACTTTTGGGAGGTATTTTTCGAAGAGAATCACCACCTTCTTTTTAACCTGTATCTTCCTTTTTTTTTTTTTTTTTTTTTTTTTTTTTGATTTCTAGGATGCAAGCAATGATGGCTGGATTGTCACAATCACCTTGGACCATGACAACAAGTATTTAGTCCAGATCTGATAGAACAAAAAGCTACAATGAGCTTAGAGCTTAGGTCCCTGGTGACTGCAGGAACCTGCACCCTGAGCTTTGGACTACCCACCCCCCAATGGGTGACAGAATAAAACCCGGGTGTTTAATTTATGGTTAGTTCTGGTTTTTATTAACTTCTTGGGAACACAGCTCCAAGTCCCATTCTTACGTCAGCCACTGGCAAGAGGAACTGCTACCTCCCGACCGGTGCCAATGGGTTTCAGGAAATCACAGTGACTACTATAGTAAACATTATCTCTTAAACATAATTTTTTTATTTTTGTTAAAAGTAAATTGCAGCTGGGCATGGTGGTACAGGCCTGTAAGCCCAGCACTTGGGAGGCAGAGGCAGGCAGATCTTTGTGAGCTCAAGACCAGTCTGAGACAGCCGGGCTACACACACACACACACACACACATAAAAACAAAACAAAACCCTGTTTTGTAAAACAAACAAATCAATAAAAAATATAAACTGCATTCTTAATATCTATATAAGAAGCCACCTTATTGTAAAGGACTACTACATCTTTGGTATGGACCTTAATTAATTCCCAATTAATAATTATTAATAATTTTCTCATGTACTATTTAGAATCTAATATTTTAAAATGACTTCTATGAATTTCAACAAGAAAGTTCTGGACCATCCTTTCAAAGGTACAACTCTCCAAATGCAAATTTTGTTTTTTAGCTTATTCAGGATTATTTAATTCAATAATATGATTTTACTAGTAAAAATGTTCTTTAAGACCTATCAGGGCCTACACCCTTAAAGAAAACTGACTCTCTCTTCCCCAGAAGCCATCAAATGTCAGGAGCTCATGCTCCTCTCCCACTTCTATGCTGGAAATGTGGAGTGCATGACCTCGTAGAGGTCTTGTGCAACTTACCACAGCCACTGTGAGTTCATGAGTACAGCAGTCATGTCATGTCCAGAAGACACTGTTTTGGTCCAGTCCTCCTGACCTCTGGCTCTTACAATCTTTCCACCTCCTCTTCCTCAATGGTCCTCAAGCCTTGGGGAGAAAGGATGTGATGTCTTATCTATAGCCATGCATCCCACACACCGTTATTCTCTATACTTTGACGAGTTGTGAGTTTCTGTGTTGCAGAAAATAAATAGGCTATTAATTTTATCATTAAGAGTCTATAATCATTACGGTGGTTATTATTAACCCACTATCATAATCAGGAAAAGACACAGACACCTGTTGTGTTTAAACAATACTTGTTTCAATACGACAGGTGTTCCCTCCCTCCCCCATCTGCCTTATTATGTCTCAGCCCCACATCCCATGCAGTTTGCTTTAACCATTCCTATCTGGGCTACTTCCCATCCAGTATTCCCATAAATTCTTGCACAAGCTTTCCATCTTTTCACGTGGCTCCTCAGAGCTCCTCCTCCTGGCCCGAGTGGTACTTTACATACCCCTTCTTCCTCCGTTACCTGTCCCCTCTTTCCTGTGATCCTTCTGTCCTCAAAGCCTGAGGACGTTAGCTCTGCTTTACGCTTCTGCTTCTGCCCTGCCCAGGTCTGTAGGCCTTTTATTTAGCTAATCAGGATAATTTTGGCGGCAAGGTTATACAGCAACATTTGGGGTGTGTGATAGTCTGTCAGAAGAGACAGCAAGCAGACCTCAGGGAGCAAAATAATCAATCAAATACAAAACACCAGAACATGCTGTTACATTTCTGCATTAATCATTATCTATCTGGTGTACAAAGAAACTTCTCTGATGAGTTCAGAGGGTGTGGGTACAGAGACCTCCTGACTTTAGAAAGCAGTTTGCTACGATGTCCATTTAGTAAAATAACAGTAGGTTCATTCCTAGGGCCCACGAGTTTCTCAACTATGGATTCTTGGTTAGACTTACTGTATCAGACATGCATTCCTGTTACAGAGCCAGAAAGCTACTGGCTTCCCCTCCCCCCCCCCCATAACATTGGGGCCACAATTGCACCAGTGACCAATGCCTGATGTATAGAATTTTTGTGCTGCCAATTCTATGTTACTCTGCTTTTAAGGCCATCATGATTTATCTTGAGCTTCTTAAGGGGCGTCCAGGCACAGCAGTGTGGGCAGTTTTGTAGTGCTTGGCTGCATCTTTCTGCTTTCCTGGTCATTATTTCTCGGCCTCTTTATTTTTCTTAAACTTACAGGTATTCCCAGGAATTGTTTTTATGTGAGCAAGAGAATCATAATTTAAGAATTCTTTCTTGGTCAGGATAGTAGAGTGGAACATTTAAATCGAATATAACTGTTAAATAAGCTATCTTCCACATGTAACTGACCCATCTTACTTGACCTAAAATGGAAACTGCAAAACCTAAAGACAGTAAGTTTTAAAACTAGGCAAATGAGGGCATATGTGGCTAAGAAAGCTAACGGGCTCCAGTTGTTATACAATCCTAAGGACCCTCTCACTTGAGTGCCCCCCCCTCGCCTTCCCAGCCAACGTTAGCGTTAGATTTCGCTTAAAGCTCCTGCAAATTTTATGCAAATTCGGCAGTGAGTTCTAGAATCCCACCCCAAATCATCCACTGCCGCCTCTGAGAGACACTCTTGAGAGGAGACTTCTACACTCATCAAGTAGCTTTCAAACCCCAGCAACACTCAGGTTTCCAAGGCTCAGGAACATTTCTAACATGTTAGAACATTTAGGCTCTTAGAACATTTCTAAGCCTTGTCCAGTTCCAAGCCAGTACTGGACTGGACTGTAAGGCAGTTGCTCGGGTGACTCTGTTACCCATAGCTGTGAAAGCCCAACTCTGAGGTTCAAGTGAAAAGGGCGTTCTTTAGCTTATTAATACAAACATTCATTCTTCCGGGGTGCCCTGTTCAGCGGAGCGGCGGAGCTATCTCAAGACTCAAAGTTGAATTTTAATATTTCAAAAAAAGGGTAGACATTTTCAGGTGCAATGAAGCCACTCTAAGGTCAGGAAGGTCACTGTGGGCTTGCAGTATGAGGAGGAGGCTGGGTGGAGCCAGAACTGGGAGGACCTTCAGATGGTTCTAGGCTTGTGATTCTCAACCTGCGGGAGGAGTTTGAAAGACCCTTTCACAGGGGTCACCTAAGACCACCGGAAAGCGCATATTTACATTATGAGTCATAACAATAGCAAATTTACAGTCACGAAGTAGCAACGAAAATAATATTATGGATGGGGACGTCACCACATGAAGAATTGTATTAAAGGGTCACAGCATTACCAAGGTTAAGACCCACTGTTCTAGGCAGGAGGCTGCGAACAGGCAGAAGGGTTCCGGGTGGCAGACTAGTCAGGAGTTCAAGATCTAGGCAGAGAGGGATCCAGGGTTGGGGAAAGGTTAGGCAGTGTTTTCTAGCGCAGTAAATTGCTGGTCTTCTGCCTTGAGACACTGGGCTAGCGAGGTATTTGTTTCTGAGGCCAGGTCTCACTCTCTCTAGCCCAGGCTGGCCATGACGAGCAAGCTAACCTCCTGCCTCAGCCTCCCAAGCGCGAGGATTACGTGCTATAGCTAAGGCTATTTCAGTTTCAGCAGCTGGCATAACCCGCTGTTGCTGTGCAGGATGGCTGGCATCCCACAGTTCCAAGCTTACTAACTGTGCATTCCTTGAGCCGAGTCAGCCGGGAGTGCTAGCTTATGAAAACACTGGGCTGGCTTGTGGAGGAATAGTTGGGGTTGGGAGGGAATCCCGGGAAGTTTGACAGTGTCTACGGGCAAACAGCAACCCAGCAGAGACGGCAAGGCAAGTCCCTCTACCTCCCCTCCCCATCCCCCCACATCCAGACTGTGGTAAGTTAACTTTCCTCAGTGTCTCTTAGCACCAGGTAGTTTACACGCTCTCTGCTGCTGATTACCTAAGCACTACAGCTAAGCACACCACCGCAGCTGAGCTCGGTAACCTTGAGTCCCCTCAGGTGACCCAGCCCTAACCAAGTAGCCCCGTGGTGGAACGACCTGGGGCTAAAGAAGGAAGCCTGGGGTCCTCACCGAGGCCTGGTCTGGAAGCCACCGGCTAAGCCACCCCTCGGGGCCCTGGGACTGCTCCCCGCCAGCGGCAGGGCGAGGCCGGGTCCCCGCGCTGCCGGGTGCAGGCTGCGGCCTGGAAGGGGCGGTGCTCAGGATCCTCGGCGGGGGGTGGGGGGCTGGACCGTCCAGAACCGAAAGCGGCAGCCAGCGGGGAGGCGGGGAGGAAGGAGAGGCGGCTGCGGGGCTGGGAGGTGTGAGCCAGGCCCGGAATGTCCACCCCGCCGCTGCTTGCGGGCCATGGCTCTGCAGCTGCTGGCCCACTTCGACGTGCGGGAGGACGTGCTCCCGAGCCTGCCGGCCCAGCCGGAGACAACGGCCGGAGGAGGCGGCGCAGGTGCCGAGGGGGCGGACGGGGGGCCGGGCTCCGGGCATCCCGCAGCAGCTCTGGGTCTCGGGTGGAGAGGGAGCCGTCCCCACGCGCACATCCCCGGGGCTGCCCACCCGGCCCAGACCAGTGGTACCCGACGCGTTGCCACCGGGATGGGGAGGCGGGAAGCGGGAGGCGGCGGGACGGTTCGCCCTCTCCTGCCTCCAGGGCTCAGCAGCCTAGGACCAGGAACACCTCCAAGTGTAAGTTGACCAGAACGGAGATGAATTGTGATGGTCAAGAAAACAATCACATAGTTTGTCCCAGCGAGGATGCTGAGTGTTCTAGGCATCAGTTAGCTTTTAAGGAGGGGGATTCAGTGGATTAAGCCAGCCCCCCTCCCCCAACCCCCCAAAAAAAAGATGTTTAAAAAGGATATAGACTCTGTTCCCCAGATTCTATGGTTTCTGTATTCTTGAGAACGGTGATGATGTCTTAGGAGACCTGTCACTCCAGGGGTGATGTAAAGAGGGAAGGGTGCCCTTTCAGGCTGAATGCAGTGAACTGGGGTTCTGTAGGCTCTAAAGGCACAGCAGCTAGCTCAAGAGCTACCAAGCATCCTCACCCCAACCCCGCCCTACCCTGCTCGGCCCCACCCTTGAGCGACAAGCAGCAGGGAGGCAAGAATGCCCTAGCTTCCCAGGTCAATTGGAGCTCATTTCTGAGGCTGTAATGGTGAGGATGGTGAGGGAGTGGAAAATGGCTTCTGTACGTCCCCAGAATTGATATACTTAAAAGAAGAGAGTCTGTTTTTCTTTTTCTTTTCTTTTTTTATTTTAAGGACATAAATAAGGAATCATCTTCAGGGCTTAAATTGACTCCAGGATAATGGCACCTCTGGGTCTCACCTTGTACATAGGAGCTATGTGTGCCCATGTGCTTGCCTGTCTCCGACATCTTTGGTTTTCCTTAAACCCTGTAGACTGCGCTTGGATGAGGTCTGGGGGGAGCGCATCACAATTTCGTTCCTCTGAACCCTTCCAGAGGTTGTGTCTACACCGCTGCTGCGCTTTAGCACAGGGGCATTTGTAGATGCCCTTGCCCCTGCGTGGTGACTGTTAATCAAAAGTAAACAACTTTGTGACTTTATAAGAGCGTGTGTAGCTTCTGCCTCTCTTGCTTTCTTAAAAGTCTCAGAAGGCTTAACTTTCTGAAGGGTTACAGGCAACTAACTCCAAGTCCGTTTCCCAGCTCCCCCTTTGTTTTGCTAAACGGCAGGTGACTGATGAGATATAAGAATGCTAGTCTCGTGTTTCAGTACGCGTGCTGTAGTTGAGAAGCTGTGTGTGACCCAGTTGGATTTTGGCTTCCTTGCATCTTTCACTCACCTGTGAAGAATTATAAACCCGTGTATTGGTGTTTCAGTAACAGTGGGTACCTCTCAGAAGGCCAACTAACTTACTAGATGTATTTGCTCTTTTTTTTTTTTTTTTTTTTTTTTTTGGCACTATATTTTGCTGTGTTTCAGAGCACCGTGGTAAGATATTAGTTCAGTAGGTGGTAGCTTAAAACAAACAAAACCAGGGGCTGGGGACAAATTCCAGAGCTGTTAAGACAGAGAGACTGGGAACCTGGGGCTGGCTGGCCAGCCAGTCTAGCTGAATTCCTGAAATCTGCATTCAGTGACTGAGCAGGATACCTGACACCAACTTCCGGAGTACACAGGCACCTGCTCCTGTGTGTCCTGTGTGTGACCAGGAAGGAGTGTGCCTTCGTGGGGTAGCTCGCATGTGGAGATCGGAGAACAACTTTCCAACTCCTCAGACCTGGGCATCACATTCAGTTTGTCAGGCGCTTTTGCCTGCTGAGCATCTCACTGGCCCTGATAGTATTTTCACATTGAAAATGTTTTAGTGACACTAGGTACTTCTTGTGAAACATGACTTTCTTGTCAAAATAGCCTGTGAGCGTAGCTATACTAGCCAGGGAACTTCAGTGGCTGGAGAACAGAAATGTAGTCAACAAGGGCTGGAGGGGAGGAGGCCAGATTTGAGTATTGTGCCTACTCTTGGTTCCATATTGAACTTTGGGAATATGGTCTCCCCTGAAACAAAATGAGAACATATTCACAAAAGTCAAAACATAGTGGTTTAAAATGTACCTACTATCCTGATATTGAACAATGTCAGGACCTTTGAAGGCTGTGTACATGCAGCCTTGGGATTCTTCACCTTAACCCCTCACAGGTAACTATCTGAATATTTATATTTTAATATTCTTTTTTATTTCATGAATAGCTTTAAATGCGTCTTTATCTGAATTTTAAGTAAATGAGAGTGTACTATGCTCTCTTTTTCCTTTAATATCCTTTCAGTATTGTAAGATTTATTCAGGTTCACTGGCTACACTGGAGCCATTACTTTTCACGTATACACTATTTTATAGTGTGGACTGTCCTTTCAAGGAGGAGCCTCCCCTCAGTGTTATGAGCATGGTCAACTCCTTCAGGGATTGTCCCTCAGCGTGGTTTCGTTCAAGTGCCTGCATCCAGTGAGACGTTGCAGCTGGGTATAAAAGGCCTGACTGTTTTGACTTGGTGTGGGACTACTCCTGCAATCAGGCTGAGTTCTGGAGCTCCAACCCCACCCCCGTGCCCAGGCTTCAGGGTCATCTGAAAGTACTGGGCCTGCTGGGAAGCTTGGCTTCTCCTACTGAGACCTTCTTCCTTCTCCTGTGTTTTACAGGTGGAATCCCATAGGGCTCAGCATTTCCTGACAAACTACTTCACAGGGAACCCAGATTTACTTTCTTTGGGGAGACAGGGGGTCCCTGGGCTTGTCATTTCAGCCAGCGTCTTTACTAAATGTCTTGTGTTCCCTTGGCAGCACTTTAAAGAAAGCATAAGATGAAACGTTGTTAGGAACCATCTGCGTGATTCTAGAAACAACGTGAGATTTCTTTCCTGTGCTTTCCCCTGCTTTGAATAGTCTTGGATTTGTGACACACCAGATTGATTTTAAATCTCACACTCTTTGCATGGGGAGTGATATAGCTAGCCGAGCAACTATTTCTTAATTTCCTCTTACTTCCTGCAGGCTGGCTCTGGGATGGGAGGGAGGACTTAGTCATGTTTTCTGTTTCATCATTCTCTTGCCACTGTCCTTCCTATTTATTCTCCTTCCCCTGTGTCCCCAGTCTTCTTTCCTAACTCTTGGTTCTCTTTTTAGTGATTTCCAACCAATAACCCCTTGCTTGCTCCTTCTCATTTCATTCAGAGTGTGAAACATGTTACATCACAGGAGTCCTGATTTAGGGATTACAAACCTGGTTGCCAGAGCCAGAGGGCCTAGGTTGAGTGCGTACAGACTAAGAACAATCCACTTTTTGATCTGAGTGCTGGGATCTGGCTTACATTGTTTTTTTTTGTTTTGTTTTGTTTTGTTTTGTTTTAAGACTGTATGACCCCCCTCTCCAAATACTGCCCTCAGGAAAGCACAACCACTGTTTCAGTTTTCGCCTCATAGCAGTTCAGACTAAAGTTTATTCATTTGGCAAACGTCTTCATGTAACGTGAAAGCACTCTTCTTTAGCAGAGAATGGATTGAAATGAACACGATTGTGTGGGAAGCTACCTTCTGTTTCACCTTATCTCAGACACCACAGTACCTCATGTGTTTCAGACTCTCGTTAGCAGGTTCACTTATGCAAGTAACTTCCTTATCCAAATGTGATATTGTGATCCCAGAGTACACTGAACTGTGAAATTAAGCCACATTTCCTCATTTGAAATTGCTAAACTTCCTCCTCTGGACTTACCAGAGATGCAGTACTGGGGGAAGAGTCAGAATGAATAAATAAGCAAAGACATTACTGAATACCTCTTTGAGAAGGGTGTGTCCAAGCATGAGCTAATCCAGAGGGTAAGGGGCAAAGAGGTTGAGTATGCATGAGACATCAGTCTAAATTTCCAGGATTTCCAAATGTATCCATTTCACACACCCTTGAAATGAAAACCACAAGTCTAACCAGGCTAGCACTAGCTAACGTACCCACGAAGACATTTTTATTTCTTTCAACTCTGTGTGCTTGGACCACATTTTGGTCCAAGTTCTAGCTTTAGTAGATAATAAATGTTGTACAATGGGAATGTCTGGGGGAACTTGACACATGAGAATGGTTCCCACACTAGTCTCTTAAAAATCAGAATATCTTGAGTTGGTGAGATGGCCCAGTAGCAAAGGGCACCTGCCTCCAACCCTGATGCTCTGAGTCCCACATGGTGCAAAGAGAGAACCAGTTCCTACAAGATAGCCTGTGACTTCCACGTGTGTCTTGCTGTCATCCTCCCTCCCTCCCCCATCACTCTCACACGCTAAATAAATAATAAAGTGTAATATGTATTTTTAAAATGAGAATATCTTGGCTCTAGTGTGGAACATCAGTATTCCTTAAAAGGCTCCTCCCCCATTTCTAGTGCAGACAGCTGAGTGTCCTGGTATCTAATATGTATAATGTATTAATGCATGCATGCATGTGTGTATGTATGTATGTAGACACATACACATGATAACTGTATTCTGTATTTGGTGGAGAATTTTTAGTGTTTTAAGAATAGATGTTTTGCCAAGAATTTTTTTTTTTTCAGGACCTCTTGTAAAGGAATTTCTTATCTTAGCTGAAACCTTTTAAGTATCCTTTTGTGAAGGTCTGTCCTTCACAGCGTCCTTATACTCCTTGAAGGAAAAAAAAAATCTCAAAATATTGACACATTGCATTCTAGAAGCATTGCGCCATTGCAGGATGGGGGCGGACTCTCTGAACGGCTCTTCAGCTGTGGTGGAGTCTCCTGAAAGGGTGATTATCATCTTCCCATCACGGCTGATACAGGGCACCAGCTCTCTGTTCTCGTTGTCATTTGAGATGAGTCTGCGCCATGGGCTCACCGTGTGGTACTGGCCCCGGGGTCCTCACGGCCACTGCACTCAATTGTCCTTTAAGTCCAACGGGCGCGTAATGATGTGCTGGAGGTGGAAATGAGAACACCTAGTGAGGTGCCGTTAGCTGACTGAATCTTGTCCCGCTGTAAGGTCAGACGGTTAGTCATGTATCTTAAAGCCAGAGCGAAGTGATTCTGACAGCTTGATCGGAATGTGTACCTGCGTATCGAAACCACTCCTGCATCCTTACCGCAGAACCCTTCCACGGGCGGTGTCACGTGACAGACAGGAAGAGCGGCTTCAAGACCTTGACCAAGCCTCGGTGAAACCTGTGCTTCCTCTGAAGGGTCCCATACCAGCCGCAGCTCTGGGGTCCAGTTCCCCCGCTAAACTTGCTTTTATTCTGCCTTTTTCTCTTTTGAATTACAAACACAAACTAAGAAAGGATTAGGAAAAGAGCATGTCACGGACAAGTAACTGCGAGGAAGGTGCAGGAACTCCCGTCTGCAAAAAATAAAACCATAAAGCCACAGAAAACAAACAGTATCCTCGATGAGGCCTGATGTAACCACACTGAGTGAGACTGGAACTCATCCAGTTAAAAGACCGAGTGTCAGATGTGGCAGGAGCAGGGTGAGGTTGGGAATGCTGTGAGGAACCAAACGACACTCTTCTCATAAGGTGCATGCCCTAGACACGAGGCTCAAGAGGACTAATAGTAAAAGGATGAAGTCATATCATAAAGGATAAAGGATAAAACCATATCCAGGAGAATGTTCACGCCATTGGGTAAGCACCAAGGGAGGATTTAAAGAGAAGAGAGAACAAAGTTTTCGACGAATAAAGTCTAATTCCTGTGGGAAAACTTAGATGTGCTTCACCCTGGAGCAGGTTCAGTTAGTTACAGGGCTTCACTTGGAAGGCCTCCCAGGAAGGCCCTCTCTGAGCTGAGGCACTGTAGCCCCTGTGGGGACTCGCCATCAGGCCTCGATGTCCCGGGTGACCATTCTCACACCCAGCTGCATGTGGTCATCCCTTCCTGTGGAGGTGGGCTCCTAATGGAGACCTTCCTGAAGCCCCCTTGCCCCTCCTAACTCTATTTTCCTCCTCTCTTTCTCCAGTTGGTCCTTACTGCACAGAAGCCTTCATGGTGGGGGTGGGGTTGTTCTTGGTGGTAAGAGAAAAAACATTTTCTGAACATTAACATCTGTGCTAACTCACAACGTCATTTACCAAAGGCAGTGCCCCGTGGGAAAAGGGCACAGAGACGTCTGTACTTTTCTCTGGTTTAGCCTGTTGCTTCTGACGTCATAGGACGTAGGAACAGTTTACCTGTGTCCTGGTATGTACAGGAGTGGAGCGTATGTGTGCACACGCATGTGGGTAAGGGCTAGCAGATGATGCTGGGTGTCCTCTGTGTGTCCGTCTTCTTTTGTTGAGTCACGGTCTCTCACTGAACCTGGCACTTGCTGACTGACTGTGCTGGCCGGCCAGCAAGCTAGAGGCTCCATCTGAATGCACTTCTCCAGCATGAGGGTTACGGATGTCTGTTGCCATGTCTGGCTTTTTACGTAGGAGCTGGTGATCCTAGTGCAAATCTGTATGCTTGCGTGGCTAGCTTTGCCAACTGAACCATCTCCTCAGTGCTCTGCTTTCAAAAGTCTTATTTTAATTTACTAGTCAAATACCTGGAATTCAGCTGAATGCCTGCCAGGGGTAAATCTAGCAGGAAACTGCAATAGCTCTTGGATGGTATGCTCTGAATGATGTAGCCTCAGAATGCATAATGAGAAGCTAGTATGCAATTGAAATTATTGATATACAACATTCTTTGTTGTATGCCTTCTATACGCATACATTCATGAGGTCAAGAGTGCATAGCGCTCTCTCTCTCTCTCTCTCTCTGACTTTTTCTCCCAGGGTGTTCCATCCCTCCCTCCTTTCTCTTCTCCTACCATTTCCCACTGTCTCTAATAAGCATCTTTGTAGCAGGAAAAGAAAAGAGTGTGTAGCTCAGTGACTATATCTGCAAGCTACCACTGTACTCAGGGTGGTCCACCTTCCCAGAACCTCAGAAGTCCTCTCTGGACATCCTCTCCTACTCGACCTATCCTGTTCCTTAAGGGTCATGAGTGTTTGGACCTCTAATGGGACAGATTTTAAAAGTTTGCCTGCTTGTAAACTCTCTCTTGCAGAATCATTAGCATCTAGCTTTGAGCTTGATTTCTTTCACAAATACTTTATTTGTTAGATTGTTAGAACCATTGCTTTGAGCATTAACTTGCCATTATATATTCCAGATGTTTTAGAAACAACTTATGAGAGCTTACGTGTACTAAACATCGAAAGAAATGGGAACATTATTTATACCTATAAGGTAAGTCCATGCATGTTGTCTTCTTATTGCAGTAACTATATACAACATATAGCTTACTTATAGTTTTATTACTAATAGCTATTTATAGTTTTAATAATTTACATAAGTTTTTTGAGATTATGCAGCCATGGCTAGCCTAGAATTCACCATGGAGACCAGCCTGGTCTCAAACTCACAGAAATCTGTCTGCCTCTACCTACCTCCAACCTTTTTTCAAAAATTTCTCTATGTAGCCTTGACGGTCCTGGATTCATTTTGTAGAGCAGGCTGGCCTCAAACTCACAGAGATCTGCCTGCCTCTACCCCCTGAGTGCTGAAATTACATGTGTGTGCCACCGTGGCTGGCCGGATAATTTCATTTTCTAGAGGAATGAAAAAAAAAAAGAAAAGGCAATATATTTAAACCTAACTAGTATGTCAACTTTTTGTCCTTGAGAAAGTGCTTAGTATGGTTACTTCGTAAGTTCAGATGTAAATATAACCACAGTTAACACTGGGTATTTAACAGTGTCTTCAGATATTGGATGTCCTAAGGAAAAGTTAATTTTGCTGATGGCTCTGATAATAGGAACACATCAAGGAACAGTTTCAGCACTTAGTTCTATACCTTTGTGGCATTATACTTCATTTCCCTATTGATCAAAAAAAATTCTTAAGTTGTATTTAGGGATGATGCAGTTTCAAAATTCAATTTTACTTATAGAAAATGCCATATTTATCCTCTCGAGGACACAATGGGAGGCTCATGCCCACACCTTCTAGCCTGTCCTCAGATTCCCCCAGGCTGCTCAGTGATGACCTGTCTCCCTCGCCAGGCTTCAGTAACCAGCTGAAATAGTTCTGCTCCTTCTAGATGCATACAGCAGGCGTCCGCTGAGTGCCTGTTGCTCAAGTGGCTAGAGTTACTGCAGGATTAATTTCCTAAACAATGACACTAATAAACATCTGGTTAATTTTTAGGATAATAAGGGAAATGCTGTCTTTGGATTATATGACTGCCAAGCCAGGCAGAATGAGGTAATTATAGATTTCTCAGTTGACTGTTTTTTTTCTCCCCTGCCTCCTCTGTTTTCTAAATATAAGTCTCAATTTAGTTTTCTAAAATTTATATCTATATTTCTCCCCTTCCCTTTCTATTTCTTTAGTTTTTTTTATTCTTGTTGCCTTAAAAAAAAAAAAGTATGATTCCTGAATCAAAATGACCCATGCAGTCTTAGTTCGTTGAAATTTAACTAAAGTTGGCTCAGACTAATTTTACAATATTATGGGGAAAAAAATAAAAGTAGGAAGTCCACTGCCTCCCCCAAGAACTGTGTGTGCTCCTAGGTCATGTTAATAATGACCCTTGGTCCTGATTCTGGCTAACTTTCATGTGATTGTTCTTGTTCCTTTTCGATAACAATCCAGGTTTGGAGTTATGGCTGCTTTCCCTCGCCTTCTCCAAAACCACTCCCTTTATTTTCTGGTCAGGGTGGACAAGTTGCATCTAATTGGGATGTGAAATGGGGGGGCATTTTGTGGTTATGAACAAGCGAAGAACTGGATCTTAATGGCCCTGGAACTGAAATATTCTATGTCTACTCTCAGTTTTCCACAAGTCACCTTTCCTCCTGTGGCTTCCGATGTGGTTACTTCTCTTTCTCCGTCATCCACCCATTCTACCACAGCCATTCATTCATCCAGTCATCTATTTATCCTCGGATTCAACAAGCACACAAGTTACCATTCTCCCTGTGAGGACCCAGAGTCTCAGGGATGACCAAGGCCAATCCTGTTGAAATACAGTCTGGGGAAAGAGCAAATAAAGCTTTGGATACTTGCGCAGTCCTTTCCTTGCCTTCTGTATGCTCTGAATTTTGAAAGGATGGGTTCAGAAGCATCATTATGTGGAATTTCAGTCTGGCTGGGTTGGGGTGAGTGTGGGGGAGGGGCAGCAGCTGCCTTCTGTGTGTGAGTTCATCTTCCCTGGGGCTGAAAGCAAGGAGTGAGGGACATTTTGTATTCTGTTTGGTTTCCCCCCACCCCCCCCACTGCTTCTTCGGATTTTACTTTTTACTTATTTATTTTTTGGAGACAGGGTTTCTCTGTGTAGTCCTGGCTGTCCTGGACTCACATTGTAGACCATGCTGGCCTTGAACTCACAGCCATCCTCCTGCCTCTGCCTACCACATGCCGAGATTAAAGGCATATGCCACGACCACTCAGCTTTCTTTGGATTTTAAAATATGGAGATTACTCAGGAAATAAATTTGTAAAGGCCTAAATTAGTGGGGCTATAATCAGCTTTGATGTAATAAATCAGCATCGCTTTTTTTTTTTTTTTTGGTATTTTATTTTTTTCTTATCAGTTACATTTTATTAACTCTGTACCCCAGCCGTGTCTCGATCCCTCATTCCCTCCCAGTCCCTCCCTCCCTCCCTCCTCTCCACCGTGCCCCTTGCCAAGTCCACTGATAGGGGGGACCTCCTCCCCATTCATCTGATCCTGTTTTATCAGGTATCCTCAGGACTGGCTGCAAAGCTCTCCTCTGTGGCCTAACAGGACTGCTCCTCCCTTGGGGGGTAGGGAGGCCAAAGAACCAGCCATTGAGTTCCTGTTAGAAATAGTCCTTGTTCCCCTCACTATGGGAAACCAATTGGTTACTGAGCTACCACAGGCTACATCTGAGCAGAGGTTCTAGGTTACATTCATACATGGTCCTTGGTTGCCTGTCAGTCTCAGAAAAGACCCTGTGCCCAGATATCTTTGGTCCTTGTGGAGCTCCTATCCTTTCCTCATCAGTCTAACTCCCCTTCTTTCTTATGATTCCCTGCACCCTGCCAAAGGTTTGGTCATGAGTCTTTGCTTTGAAAACACCGCTAGTTAGAGTCTTTCCAATGCGCTCAGTAGACTCCTGTCAATGTTCAATGTGTATCCCATCTGTCTTTCAAAACGAGGATTGATAATCTTACCCCATGTCCGCTCTCTTGATTATCTTTTTTAGGTGTATAGATTTCATTATGTTTATTATATCTTATAGGTCTATATAAGTGAGTATATACCGTGTTTGTCTTTCTCCTTCTGGGATATTTCACTCAAGATGATCTTTTCTAGATTCCACCATTTGCCTGCAAATTTCATGATTTCCTCCTTTTTGATCAGCATCGCTTTCTTTAACCACAGTTGTCACCTTAACCTGCTTGCTGCTGCTGTGGTCCCGCTATAACCAAGTATCTTTGATTTGGTAATTTGTAAAGAACAAATATTTAGTTCTTACAATTCCAGATGTCGGAAAGTTCAAGGTCAAGGGGTCCTACATCTGGTAAGGGCTTTCTCTCTCCGTCTTCAAATGGCATACAGTAGAAGGGTGAAAACAGGAGACTGAGAGGGGCCTAGACTCACTTTTATGATAGTACTCTCCCAGTAACGAGCCCAGTGGATGGGAAGAGCAGTAGGGCACAATGAAGGCAGCTCTCCTGTGACCTAACCACCCTTCACCGAATCTTCCCTTCCCAGCACTGTTGTACTGGGGATTCTATCTCCAGCCTATGACCCTGGGAGACATAGTCAAACCACAGCAGTTGCTAAGTCCCCTTTCTCTTCTATCTTTTCCACATATTCAGAAAATCTTACAACCCACATATATTCTTCTCCCCGGCTCTTTGGCTTTGTTGAAATGGATCTGCATGTCAGTATCTGGTCTTCATGTTTTCTTTCAAGTTCTGTGTTTTTGCTTTGGAACTGTGCCATCAAGAGAAAGACAGTGCTTTATTTTAGTGACAGAGCTCCAGCATGGGATAAGGCTGCATGAATCATGACGATTCCCTGCCTTCCTAAGTGGTTCTGTTCTTAAATGGACGAAACTGCCAATTTCCATGTACCCTTAACCCAGTTCCCTCCAGTTGTCAAACCTTGTGTAACTACGGCGTGTCAGTATAAACAGGAAGGCGACAGTGGGAGAATGTGGCTATTACAGTTCTGTGCCAGTTCAGCGTACAGGCAAGATTCTATAGTCTCCACTGCAGTCAACACACACTGTTCTGCTCTCCTCCCACAGATCTGCTGGTGACCGTTTACCAGTTTTAGTGAAACTCAGGGCTTACTCTTGAAAGTCACTTACTTTCCTAAAATTTACAGTTGTCTCCAACATCTTCTCTCTCTTTTTAAAAAGACATTTATCTATCTGATCTATCTATCTATCTATCTATCTATCTATCTATCTATCTATCTATCTATCTAATGTATATGTATGTGTGCCTGTATGAACATTTGTGTATGCAGAGGCCCATGGAAGCCAGAAGAGGGTATTGGATCCCCTGGAACTGGAGTTGTGGGTCACCATGTAGGTGCTGGGAACCGAACCTGTGTCCTCTGCAAGAGCAATATGCACTCTTAACTGCTGTGCCACTTCCAGCCACCTCTCCCCCTTTAAAAAGGAGACTTTTATTTTCGTGTTTGTTTTAGTTTGTCTTGTGGACCTTGGGATTGAACCTCTAGCCGTAGGTGCATGGTAGGCAGGTGCTGAACCACTGAGCTTTTTGGCATTTTTCAAGGTCCACGTTTAAGGACATACCTTTGCCTTTGCTGGCAAATGTAATTTAGAAAACTCGAAATAAGGAAAATCCATTATGTTCTACCCATGGTTTTGCTCTTTTTATTGTGTCATCTTACTTCCTGATGTCCTGTCCAGATTCCTCCACCCCTTCCCCTTTTTAAAAATAATTTTCTTGGTCTTAAGACGTTATTTTAGTCACAGTATTTTACAGTTGGCATGCAGGTCACACATTTTCAATTTTCTTTACCTGTACTTTTTAAAGAATGATTTTGCTGAACCTAGAATTCAAGGCTAGAATTCAACTTTTGGTTTGTGAAAATATATGTCTTCCTTCCTTCCTCCCTTCTTCCTCCTCTCTCTTCTTCTCTCCCTCCTTTCTCTCCTTGCTCCCTCCCTTCATGGCTTCTCATGGGAAACCTGTCTTTTAAAATATTTTTTTTCTGTAGTTAAGATATCATTTCTCCCAGTTACTTTTGAAAAGTTATTTTTTTTCCCCTTTGTTCTTTATTGTCTGAAAATTTACTTGAGTATGTCTCTATGGATTTGTTTGGGTTTTCAGCTTCTTAAATCTTTTGCCCAATTTGAGACGATTCACTCATTATATTTTAAACACTTAAAAATATTCCATTCTTCTCTTTTTCTGGGCACTAATTACATCAGAGACATTAATCAGATGTTTGAGATAGTCCAGGGTCCCGAAGGTTCAGCTCCTTTTTCTCAATCCCAGCTTATTTACTTAGTGTTGTTAAGATTAGGTATTTTTTTTTTCCTTCCAAGTTCATGTATTTCTATTGTTGTTGTTTTTGTTTTTAACCATGTTGCTATCATTTGAGATTTAAATAGCTGATTATTATAAATCTTAGGTGCAAAATTTCTATGCATTTTCCTTATACCCTTCCATGTTAAGATTTCCATTTATTTTTCATTCAATCACATTTTAAAGTTATTGAAGGTTTTTTTTTTTTTTTTTTTTTTTTTTTTTTTACCATAGCTGCTTTAAAATCTTTGCTACAGCGTCTAGTATTTACCACCCTAGTGCTTAATATCTGTTTTTTTCTCACTCAGGCTGAAGTTTTCCTGGTTCCTGGCATGACTCAAAGTTTGAGTATCTTCCAAGAGACTCTAGATCATATTTAGTTTTCTGTTGAAAACTGATCCTGAACTTGTTGAGGAATAAATGGCGCCACCTCACTCCTGCTGCGGGAAGGGGGGGAGAGCGCGAGGTTTCCTTGATGACCTTCCTGTTAGCCCTAGGTGGAGATGGCGCAGCTTCCCGCTAGGCTTCCACCCACCTCAGGGGAACGAATCAGGGTGTTGGGAAAGGTCATAGCTGGCTTCCAATTCAACCCCTTCTATCAGTGTTCCACCAAGGAAGAGACGGGTCTCCTCGGTGCTGGGCATGCGTCAATGTCCATGGTTCCTCCACGGCTTTCTGCGTGCTGGGAGAAGGGAGATTTCTGCCAGGTGGCATGAAAGCATTGTATTCTACTTTTCTCATTCCGTTCTGGCCGGGGTGGACAGAGTGCCTGGAGCATCTGGATGGGGTGGGAACCCTACTCACCCCACTCAGAAGTGGGGCGGAGTTTCCCCAGCTTTTTTGGCTAGAATAGGCTAGACATCACCTAGCAGTCAGCTAACTTGCTGGGTTTCTTGTGTGTGTGTGTGTGTGTGTGTGTTTGTTTGTTTGTTTTTTGTTTTTGGCTCTGAGGATGGTGTGTGTGTGTTTCTGTTTATTTCTGTTATGGTCTCTTTTTTAGTTTCAAGTCTAGAATATGTTTTGCAAAAAAAAGTCATCACTGCTTCACGTTTCAGAACTTGGAGCCCCGGATCGGCTGCATCCCTCATTCCCTGGAGTGCTGCAGGTCAACCCCACGGCTTTGTGCCTCGGGTAGAACCATACAGCCAACCTCTGAAGGTTACACATCTATAAACTGTTAGCTGGGTCATTTCAATACCTGATACTGGGAGCTAATTTAAATTAATTCCCACCAGTAGGTTATTTGGGAATAAACACAACTGCTGAGGCATTGAGAAAGTCTGCACATTGGGCTATATTAAAAGGCTAACCTGGCTTAAAGTGGTTTCTAGACAAGCATGGAGACCTGAGTTCACATCCCCAGCGCCCATGTGAAAACAGCATGGTGGTGTGTATCTGCTCCCGCCCCCCAGCACTGACAGTGGGACAGGTGGGCTCCAGGATCCCTGGGCTTGATGGCCTAGCCAAAATGGTGGAGTATGATAGAGCACACACTTGACCCTGACCCCTGGCCTTTACACAGGCATAGGCACGTGTGCCTGCATTATATATGTAGATAAAACACACACACACACACACACACACACACACACACACAAACACCAGTAAACGTATACTGTCACGTTTTGCTACATGAAGAAAAGCATTTGATAGGATGATACACTCCAATCTATATCGATCTGTGCACATTATATACACTGTATATAAATGTTTATACACAGCAACTTTAGAAAATCTGGAAGGCTACTGTGTGAGTTACAAAATTGCTCCTTGAAAAGAAGTTGAGATTGCATAGAGTTTGGAAGGTTTGATGTTATATTTGATAGCATTTGCATCTTTTAGGCATCAAGATTATTCACACATTATTTCATAGCTCAAACTATAAAATATTAAAAATGTAGTATATCAAGTCTGATTCTTCTTATAAATAAGAGTCAGTTAGAGCCAAGAGTTAAAGAAAAACAAAACGTCGACAGGAATTTTGTACCTTCTTTTAAAAAGACTTTATTATTAACTGTGTGTGTGCGTGTGTGTGTGTGTGTGTGTGTGTGTGTGTGCATGTGCGCGCGCGCGCGCCCAAGCAGGTGTTGTCTCCTCCTCGGCTGGACTTATATTCAGTTATGAGCTGCCTGATGTGGGTGCCAGGAACTGAACGTGGGTCCTCTGCAAGAGTTGCTCATACAGCTGAGCCATCTCTCTAGCCCAAATTTAGTGCCTCCACAGTAACTCACAGTTCCCCTTTCGTAGCTGTTTCCTGTGCTGATGGAGCCATAGTGTCCTCAGTCCTTAGCCTCCATGTTGCATCTTCCATCTACACGACCGCTTTCATTTCCTTTAGCGTTGTTGAAATGGAATCTTCTCACCCCCCACCCCACTGTTGTTTAAGACAGGATCCCACTGTCTAGCCCAGGAGAGCCTCCAACTTGTGATCCTTCTGTCTCAGTCTCTGGGGGGTTTGGGTTACTGGTGTGCGTACCATGACTGGCTTCTCTTGATATTTTGAACATTTCAAACATTCATAAGAAAGAAGAGATTAGGTAAAGGCAGAGGATTTCTTAGACACTTATCCAAATGTGAGATGCACTTGTGACCCAGCCAATGGTGTCAGAGTCAAGTGTGTAATCTGATGAAGCCTTTCTCATCTCAGTACTTATAACGCTAACACTGTACTCAGTGCTTTGTGGGTATCGTCTCTCTCGATCCTCATAATGACCCCGTGTGATACTTTCATTTACTCTGGCCATACCACTGGAGGATTCTCCATCCTCATAATAACACAAGATACACCTACAGTCCTGGGTTAATTCTGACGGAATAAGGAAGTTGAATAATTCGTCAAAAGTCACACAACTGGAAAATAACAATCAGGGTCTGGCCATGGGTCTAGCTTTACTTTCAAAGTTCTCGTTCTTAACCACGCTGTTGTCTCATAGCTAAGTTTTAGTGTCAAAAGTGGCATAAAATATCAAATGTTTTCCTTGAAAAATAATCTTGAATAGCTCAGCATAGGCTGAGGGTTCTTTCAGAAATGTTTTGCTAAACGATATTTGGTATAAAGTTTAGTGGGAATTTATCTTCATACAATTGTTATTTACTGTGACTTCCTCCCTTTTTGGTTGTTTTACTAGCATCTGTACACCTTTGAGAAGGACATGCAAGCCATCAGCTGCTCTGTCAACAGTGCGAGAACTGTCCTTGGTGAGTTGAGCTCTCATGGCCGTACGTTAAGGATGACATCTTTTAAGATTAAGCATTTTGAATTTTGCAATATTTGATTATAGCAACAATATTCTGGAAAATTCATGCTCTAAGTAAATTGAATTTGAGTTTGAGAATATGGCCGGGCATGGTGGCACACGCCTGTAATCCCTGCACTCAGGAGGGAGGCAGAGGCAGGTGGATCTCTGTGAGTTCGAGGCCAGCCTGGTCTACAAAGTGAGTCCAGGAGAATCAAGGCTATACAGAGAAACCATGTCTCAAAATAAATAAATAAATAAATAAATAAAAATAAAAAAAGAAAGAAAAGAAAAGAAAGAAACTGAGAATGTGTAGAATACACCTATTGGAAAGAATGTTTTGCATTCACTTACAGTGTTACTCTGACCGATCCTTAGAACTCTGTTATTCCGGGTATAACATGATAAACCTGAGCAAACTGCCACGTGGATCAGTTGCTAATTGATTTCTTTCCCTTTAGCTGCAAGTTTCATTCAGTACACTAAGGAAGGAGTAAGGAATGAGCTTCACCCAGGTAATGGGATCATCTTCCTTTGTTGGTATTGATAGATAAACATCTGTTGGAGTAAGCCGAATCTCAAGCTTCTATAGAAATGTCTTTGTCTTAGAATAAAAGGGCAGCGGCTAGTTAAGCACAAGCGACATTTTAATTTCTGTCTCTCAAGTGGGCAAGAAGGTGTGAAAAATAATATAATAGCAATTGTAGAAGTGATTAGTGCCTGAAGACTGAGTGTTGAGAATACACTCGACTTCCATGGCCAAAAGCTAATGCAAAAGTAGGGAAATTTACGGTACTACTTAAATACATCAGAGACTAATCTGTAAAACAGCCAGGTACGACTGTATACACCTGTAATCGCCATGCTGTAGAGGTGGAGATAGGCCATACTTGGGGCTCATAGGCCAAGTAGCTCAGCCTACTTGGCCATATCAGGACCAATGAGAAACCCAGTCTCAAAGAAACAAGAGGTTTCTCGTTTCTCATGGGTGGTGCCTGAGAAATGACATGTACATTTGACCTCTAGCCTTCACATGTACATGCTAACCTGTGTGCTTGTGTAGATACACACCCACATAAAAAAAAAAAAAAGGAAAATGAGACGCTTTTATTGTTTCCATTGTGAAGTAGTTCTGTTATATTTTGTTTATTTATTTTGCCTTTACGCCTGTATGTGTGTGAGCACACAAGTTCTATGACACGTGTGTGGAGGTCAGAGGATAACTTGCGATGGTTGGTTCTTTCCTTACACCGGTCCCAGGGATTGATTTTATGGTGTCGGGCTTGGCATAGGTGCCCTTGCCTGCTGCGTCATCTCACCAGCCTTGTTTTTCCCAGAGAAATATTTCTCTTGCTTAATGAAAAGGTGTCAGCAGCTATAAGGAGGGATGGGGTACAGGGTCTTGACCCCTGGGAAATGTCAAAGGAGGAACCACTGCTTGGCTTTATATTTTTGCTGCTTGTAAAGGGCAGCTGAGTCCCCTGGGGCCAGTTTTGCAATTTTTTGAGAACTCTGGGCTTTTATGTAAAAATCTACCTTATAGAAGTTGGCTCAGTTAGCTTTTAAGACTCTGCTCCAGCAATGTTAACCACCCGTGGGCTGGAGCTAGCGTGGGGACTACCATCTTTCAGACGCTGGCCCGGAGGATCTGATTTCAGCCTTGGTGCCTTTGCCTCTGCTCTATTTATTTGGCACTGTGATTCCTTCTTTTGTTAGCACAGTTCCTACTTGGATGTATGCTGGGGTTGCATGTGATGGAAAAACCCTTTGCACATACTTTCCACATGAGGGTCACGGGGCTGTCCTGGGCCTCTGAGGACACACATCTCCCCACATCCTCCAGAGGCCGGAGGACGGGAGCCACGCCAGGGAAGAGCTTCTGTGAGATAGTGGTGGGCTGGAGGTTTTCTCTGAAATCTCATAGCTTTCACCTTGCAGTGACATGCTGAGGCCCACCATCACCCCTTCCCTCTCCATGCTGGCCTCCTCTTCCCCTTAGCACTGTCGCTCTTAGAACTGGATGCAATGCTCACCTCAAGGGGCAGAATCGGACTGGATTATGTACGACTTGATCTAGAACATGAGTATGCTGACCCCTAGACATCTTATTTTGAACAAAGAGAGACGTAGGGCTGGTCTGATGCACTCCTTTGTCCGGGGAAGGCAAGGTGACTGCTGTGGCTGCCGAGCTGGTGAGGCGAATCCACACCCCTCAGATTTGCGCGGTGTGTAGTCCGGTTCTTACTGTTCCTTGTTACCTTGAGCCGGAGAGATATTCTTTTATGCTGGTAAACTCAGAGCAACTGTAATTTTTACTTGATATTTATCATTTATGCCTGCCTGTCATGCTTAGCCATAGTCAATTCTGGTTGTATTATGAAGTATAGCTCCAGATCAGTAAGTAAAATTAAATCCCATTCAGATATGCTTGCTCTGTCTTGGATTTGGGTACCTGTGGTGACACAAGTGGTGACACCTGTGCTACTTGTATCTTTAAAAACATTAGCCTCAATATTACTAGTTCTCATACTACTCAGCAAGTTTCACCTACCTAACTCACCTTTATCTCTACCACTAAGGTGACAACAAGTTTTGTCCAGGTGTAACTCCAGAATGTTCCCCCTCAGCTTCTCTGCCAATGTCTCACTTTTGGCTCAGGCTCATTGGGAGTGTCTGTTTCTACATATACACTCTGGGAGTACGGATGGAAATGAGATACACTAGGGCAGCCCATCGTCAGTGGGGGGTCAGGAAGCTGAGGGAGAATTGTCCCCCACTTTCAGTCTGGACGGGGATGATCCTGAGGTGCCCTCAAGCGGGTTAAGGTTCCAGGTGGCCACCAATGTGTTAACGTTCCCTGTCTAGTGCGCTTCTGGCCTTTGGCAGACTATCCCCACACCCTCAGGTAAACTTCTCATGGCTAGATGGACCTGTCCCCTCAGGTTGCTTCTGGCCTTAGTCTGAGTTTCATTGGAAGCAGCATCTGAGGCAGAGAGAGAAATCGGGTGTTGAAACCCTACTGAGGCATGGTTTAAACTGGTACCTGGAAGAAAGGAAGGGAAGTCCTATTTCTGACGGAGCAACTGCCAGCTCCAAGGCTCCGAGGCTAGACTAGGTTTTGTAGATTCACAGTTTTAAGAGAGGGATGAGGACAGTGAGTTGAGGTGGAGCGGAGGAACTGGGAGTTAAAGGAAAATGAAGGTGAGGTATGGTGTGATCGTCTTGACAGCAAGAGACCACTGTAATGACCCGACCTTCACCTGGGGGAGTTAGTGTTGCATCTACACATACTTAGAAAGCAGATTTGTCAAGAGTAGCTTCTGGGTTTGATAGGCATGTGAGAAAAAAAGACCAAGTCAAGAATGACTCAGTCTGTGTGTGCACATTTATGTGTGGTATGTGTGTGTGGGGGGAGGGGAAGTGGAGGAGAAAGAGAGAGAGAGGAACCATGAATACTCATGAAACAATGACTTTTCATTCTGTGGCTTAATACTTGTGATTCCACATAATAGCTCACCTGCTGTCTTGCCTTTTCAAGAGATTTGTGTGTTCAGGAGTAGGTGTACGTGTGTGTGCGGAGTGTGAATGTGTGTGTGTGTGTGGAGGACAGAGTTTAACATTCAGAGCCTGAAGCTCTGTTGTCCTCTGTTTTGTTCTATGCCAGACAGGGTTCATCTCCAGTCTGGAGCTGTGTGAGGGCACTGCCGTGCCTGGCTGTTATGGGATGCCAACAATCTGAACTCAGTTCTTCATGCTTGCATAGCAAGCCTTTTCCCCACTGAACCATCTCCCTAAATCCCTCAAGGCCTTTTTCTTAGTTTCTACTAATAATTTTTTAATCAATCTGCCATTGACAGAAATGAATACCCAACAGGTCTCTAACAAGCAATTTGAAAAAGCATTAATAGGTAACAAAACAACAAGCCTGCTGAGATCTGGGCAAGGTAATGCATGAAACTGCCTCAAAGGAATTAAAAAAAAAAAAAGGTCCCAAAACAAACAAACAAAAATTAAAGATACTAAATAAAATTATGTTAAAAGGAAAAAAAAAAACCTCACAGAAGGCACCCTGCCCCCCACCCCCCCCCCCCCCCCAAAAAAAAAATCTCACAGCACTGGACGGGTAACCCAGCACTCTAGAAGCTGAGGCAGAAAACTCCCTCCAAATTCCAGGGCAGAATCAAAACACATCCTTCCAAATAAAACCAACCCAACCCCCTGTAACCCCAGCACTTCCGAGGGACAAGCAGAGAGGGAATAACATTTTTGAGGCCATCTTCAGCTGTGCAGAGTTGAAGATCAGCCTGAGCTCCTTCAGACTTCTCAGAATAGAGAAAAGGCCAAGCACAACCACCCCCTTGCAGGGTCTACAGGGTGCGGTGCCTATAGACTCTGCCTCACCCTCTCCGGTTTGTAACCGGAAGCCCAGGGTACACAGAGTCTCAGCCAGGCTTCCAGAGTGCGGGGGAGGCTGGTGGTGAGGGGCCCACAGGAAGGGCCACGGCCGCAGGACTTGCACCTTGCCTGGCCCTGCAGGGTTGCAGTAAAAGCAGCTGTGCTCTCTGACCTGCAAGGACCAGGCTGCTGGGGAGTGCCTGGCTCTCCAGCCATGCCTCTGGGTGGAGGTGGAGGGTGAGGAGTGTGGTCACGTGACATCTGGGCCCCGGAGTAGCCCTTCAGGCCTGAGCGTCCGGCCCTTGGTTACAGGTGCGAGCTAGCTGCTCAGCTTGCCCCTCCTCCAAGCTGAGGCCAGTTGGAGGCCAGGACCTTGCAAGCCTCCCGGAGGCTTTTTAGCTCCAGGACAGCTTGCAGCTGGCCTCGTAGTCACCAAACACCGGAGTGCAGGGAATCCGACGATCTCCCATCTTTTCTACCGCTCAGGAGTTTACCCTCAGGTGATCCTTAAAGACATTTTTTTTTAAATTTTTTTTTATAGAAATAATTAGCTCATACGTGATACCTTTTTCCTGAACCAGTGTGTCAGGTTATTTTTTTTTTTTAAGGACTGAAAACTGGTATTGATTCCAGACTGCTGTGTGAGCCTCAAGTTGTACATGAATATTCAAAATATTAGTAACGGAAAGAGAACCACGCAATTTTAAAGTCTTAGGCTCTGGAGCGTACTCCTGGCAGAGAGGAGCCTTTGACCTACATTTGGACATCTGTGGTAAATCCCTTCCAGCCCCTGGCCATGGACTTACCCCTAATTATTTTTATGACATTTGCTCCGCTCCGACACGGAGGACCTAAGCCAGCTGTTGGCGGCGCTGCTGAGAGGCAGCATAAAACATGTGCATTAGAATGTCTTTATTTCCACACACGGACTGCCACAGTGCCGCGGAACTGGAGAGATAATGGGTAGCGCCGTGTTGATAGAGTCTGTAAAGCTGTGCTGAGAATGGTTTCACTGCGGGCACATTGACTTCTGCTTCATTGTGGTTTGTCTATTTTGACTTTTTTTTTTTCCTTTCCTTTTTTGGTAATGAAACTAAGCCCTCCCGCGCGCTCGCCAATTGCCCTACCACCGAGTTCCATACCCATAGCCCCGATTTTGAGTCTGAGAAACGTCAAAGTAAACCTTACAAAAATTAAGAAATAAGCTGATGCAATAGGAAACTCGCACTTTCAAAGTCCAGCTGCGCCTATTTGCAAACGATGCTATCCAGGGGGAAGGGCGCCCATTGGAGGTCAGCTTGTCCGCGCTCTCTTGGGGTGCGCAGCATTTGCATCTCCTTTCAGAAACCATTTGTATTTTGGATACACCGTTTCCTTTCCCGCTGCGGCTTCCCTGGGCCACCACTAGACCCCAAAGAAAGGAAATGGGGGATAGAATTGCACTGTAATACCACCTCGAGAGACATGGCGATGATGGTAGAATTGCTGTCAGCTCACAGTTGGTGGAAGCTGATACGCCCTTCTTCATGGTTGCTTGAGAAAAGAGAAGGGAATGTGTGCTGTCTCAGTCTCTGTGACTGACACCCTCCTTTTCTCTGTAGGATCAAAGTGCTTGACTTTGCTGGTTGAAATCCACCCTGTCAACAATGTGAAGGTTCTGAAAGCGGTGGATAGCTGCATTTGGGTACAGGTAAATAAGCTTGTCACCTATCACTTGTCTCAGTAATCGGGAGGCACGACACCCGGGGAGAAAGGTGTTTGTTTACAAAGCCCAGTCACCCACATCATCATGTTTAATCTAAGCAATATTCCAGCTGTGAAGGCTAGAACACCAGTGCTGCCCTTGTAAACATCGAGAGAAGACCTGGCTGCCCTGACTCTGCTATACCCCATAGGAGGGCAATGTTTTCCCGTGATAAAATATCAAATATTTAAATAACTTGGTGGTAAGCTTTAAAAGTGTTTACATTACCCATTCACTTGGCTGGCTGACAGGCCAGTTATTAATGACAGCAAATTCCTGACTCTTGCAACACTGTGGATTGCTACAGAAGTACTCTGTGGGTAATGTGGGTGGACCAGTCATTTTTAATTTGAAGATTCTACGCTTGTGCATTCTTGTGCTTATAGAAGACTTATTTGCAATTCAAAAATTACACTTGTGGTGCTTTGCCAGGCATTAGCTGACCAACGTCATTTGCTTGCGTGCCCCCAACTGAGACTGAACAAGGTGATGCTCTGCCTATTTCCATGCTTACACTGTAGACAAGTGATGGTCACTGCCTAGTACCATGGGTTTTTTATTTTCTCAGCTTTTCATTGTGATGCCTCTCCTCTCCTCTCCTCTCCTCTCCTCTGCTCTTTTCTCTTCCCTTCTCTTCTCTTCTCTTCTCTTCTCTTCTCTTCTCTTCTCTTCTCT